TAGATTTTTCTATTATATACTTCTTAACCTTAGGTATAAAGTCTTATAATACTAATATAAATTAGACTATAGCTATTATACTTAATAACTCTACCTTAGTCTAAGTCTTAGTATAGCTAGATATTATAATACTTAAGTATAAGATAGTTATTTTATATATTATATATAAAGTTCTAGCTAGAATAGATAATATAATATAGTAGGTATATATTTATAGCTTTTAAGATTTCTTAGTAATATATTATTATAATCTCTTTTTTATTTTTTTTTACTTAAATAATTTAGCTTTTTATATTAATTTTCCCTTATCTTTATTTATATCTTTAGCTAAATTAAGAGCTAAAGTAATTTTTACTAGTAAATACCCTAATATAAAAAAGACTTATATATTATATATAATTATATAATATACTCTTTATAGATTATATTATCTTAAAAGTAATATAATAGCCTATATTACCTTAGTTATTATTAAACTTAATAAGTAGACTACTATTAAGCTTAAAGTAATATTAAATAGTTTAGATACCTTATAAGAATTTAAGGAAGAGAACCTTTAATATATTAAAGAAAATATTAAGTAAGATATAAAGACTATAGTTATAGCTAAAGATAATATACTAGTATTAAATAAAGAGAAATCTTTAAAGATAGCTAAAGCTTATAAAGGTTTTATTTTATATCTTAAGGTCTAGTTAGTTATTTTTAAGTCCCCTAATACTAAAAATATATAAATTATTTAGTTAGCCTTAACTAATAAAATTATAAATAATATTATTAGATATTTATATAATTATAATATTAATATACTTAAAGCCTATATCTTCTTTAGTAAACTAGCTTACCTTATAAAGCTAGTCTAAGTAAAATACCTAAATCTAAATATAAATCTTATAAAGCTAGTAATAGACTATTTTTTTATTAACTACTATAATATAGTCTTTAAGTAAAATATAGCTTTACTAATTATAAGTTCTAACCCTTTATCCCTTTTTAACTAGGTCCTTATATATATTACCTTAATAGATTTTTATATAGTTTTATTAGCCTAAGCTTATAATATTTTTAAATTAGATCTTTATATTTACTCTTTTAGTAAAGTAATAATAACTAAAGTTATTACTACCCTCTTAAAAGAGATAGTAAAAACTATAAAGGCTTTTTATTATATACTTATAATTACTTATATACTTAATAATAATATAAATTATATCCCCTCTCTTATCTTTTCTAATAAGAATAGTTATCTAATAAAATCCTAGCTCCTTATTTTTATTAGCTATTAGCCTTATATTATAAAATTTATTATTAGTAACCCTTAGTAATTAAATATTATAATATTAAGTAAATATTAAGTATTTTATACTCTTATTATAGGTAATAAGCTAATAAAGACTTTATAATAAGATTATTTTAGTACTTAGTAAGAAGTTAGCCTCCTTTAGTATATTAAAGAAAATAATATAATTAATTATTATATATATACTAACTACTACTCCTCTAATAATATTATTATATAATTATTTTATTACTTTTATTAAGGTAAAATAATAATTACCTAGGAAAATTAAAACCTAATAATAAAGTAATATAATATTATATCTTACTTTAGGAAATACTCTTTAAATATTTATTACTATAGTTTATTTATTAATCTTTAAGATATATTTAAAATATAGGTAGTTATATCTTATATAAGCTTTACTACTATATATTTTTATATTAAATTAGATATTACTCTCTAGCGTCTATCTATCCTTATTAGATATAATAAGATAAAGTATAATAAAATCCTTATTATTACTAGCTATATTATATAAGCTATAAAGATAAAGTACCTTATAAATAAAATTTTATATAACTATATCCTAAAAGGTACTTTATAGGTCTATACTATAGATAATTTACTTAGTTATAAAGTTAAAATTATTATTATTAATTTCCCTTATAAGTTAAAAATTAGTTTTCTTAATAAGCCTTATTATATTAATATAGCTTTTACTTATACTTATTATTATATTATTTATATTAGTAATATAGCTAACTTAGAGTAAAGTAAGTTACTTAATAACCTAATCTCCTTATACTATTAAAGTAAAGTCTTAATTACCCTAGTAGAGTATCTAGACTTCTATAATAAATACTTTAACTTTAGGTATATATTATATAATTATTAGAAAGTAATTAGAAAGAATAAGCTTATTTATTACTCTTATACCTATAATAAATATTATTATAGTAGCTAAGACTACTATTATATTATTATAAGAGTATCTTTTAATATTATAACTCCCTTAGTACTTATTAACTTAATTAAATATAATATACTTAGTAATATTACTATTATTTATACTAAAAATTAGAAGGATAATATAGTTAATAATAAACTTATAATTAATAATAATAATATTAACTTTTATAATAAAACTTATATTAAGAAGCCTTAGGTTAAAGATATT